ATTGTGTTCAAAGTAGAACCAGAATTGTACTGCCTCCTACTCTTTTTCTTTTGTTTTTTAAGATCATCATGTTGAACAACTAGTTCTTTGACTGTGTTGATTTCAATAGTTGCAGTATAATCACCTTCTGTGATGTAATGCTGAACATTGTTGTATATAGTCTGCTGTGGTAGATAATACACACCATTCTTTTTAATCTCAGTTCTACAGTAGGGGCATTCCTGTTTCTCCAAAGATGAAAAAACCTTGGGACTGACTGAATGTTGACAGTTGAGCTGATATAACCCTTCAACAGTGTCACAAGTAATTGGGCATTTAAAATCTTCTGCAATATAGTCGACTGGGCTTTTACCATCACTTCTTTCTTTACCTTTGCCTTTCACATCCTGATTCACCACCACTGTTGTGTCTTGTGAATATTTCATGCACAGCTTTGATTCAATTTCTAATTTTTCTTTCAAATAATGATAAATTTCCACCAGTTTTGGTAAATCTTCCTCATCACAACTAGCAATATCATCAGGTGTTGTAACAAATAATTCCTTGTTTTTAGCTTCAAGACTCAATAAGACTTCAATTGACTTAAATTGGATAAACTCACTGACTGCATTGTTGAGTGAGTCTAATGCTAGGTAATAGCAGATAGCTTGTGTAGCTGCAGAAAACGTATTCTGGATAAGTTGTTGAACAAGATCTAAAATCCCAAACCAAAGCACATCACTAACTTCTTCATTTGCATTCTCAGAATAACACAAACTTATATGAAACCAGAGAAATTCAAGAAACAATCGTTCCTTAAAGGCTGTTGGAATGCCAAAATCTTTTTCCTGACTCCACTCATCAAGAGTCTTTTGCAATTCAATAAGCCTTCTCCAAGTTGTGTACCATGGTTCACCTGATGGTTCAATCTGGAATGCTTCCGCAAGATAATTCCATGCTCTCTCCAGGTCGAAATCACCAAGAGGAACTTCAACACTAGTGGTCACTTTAACCCCAATTTTAACTAATGCAGGAGCAGAAACAAGTAGAGCTTTTAATGCAGCAATGGCTCGATCTAAATTTGTCTGCTGGTAGTTTTTATCGCCACAAATACTATTTAACATATTTTTAATAATTTTGAAGAGATATGCATTATCATAATTGCATTTAAAGCTTTTGATATTTTTGTTCGGTTCATTAAATTCTGCACAATTAGCTTTCCAGACTTTCCCTTCATGCTGCATGATTCTTTGGTGCGTCTTTTTGTATACAGAGATAGCGTTTCTAGTATCATCAAGAAATTGACATGTGAATTGAGATTCGCGCTCACATAATTGCTCCAATATGAATATAACAATTCGTAATTGCCACTCTAACTTAACAGGCGCTTCTTTTAGAAAAACTTTGTCAGTTTTTTGAGGAAACAAACTCTCCATAGCCGCAATCAATACTTCAGATGACACAGACGTTCCTTCATGTTCAAGAACGTATTTGAGTGCGTAAAGATTCTCTAGACGATGTACGTTCTTTAACAATTCCTCTATTTGCGCATCTGCTGAGGTGTGTCCTTGTTCAATCAGGCTGTGTACAAGTTTAGGGCAATTTCCTTGATTTACAGTGCTGTTCATTGTTGACGTAGAAATATGCGCTTGTCGTTGTAAGTCGTCTTGTACCAAGATGGCAGTCGAAGAAGGCCCAATATAATCTAAAGTGTTCGGTTTGTTTCTATACCTCTTGGTTATTTATTATTGGTTAAAGTTCTGCTGTATCATGTACACTGCATGACACACACAATATTCTATCTCATCTAATTCCGATAGACATTATTTTAATCTGACACTCACGTAAACAGCCTTAACTCAAGCTGATTATTATTAATTATACCTTTTATTCAGAATTAGCATATAAAACATTGTAGGAAGACATGGCCGAAAGTCTTAAGTGATACTGCATTAGATTACAGATTATTCTACATCTCCAGCCGTCGTAGTCAGATTTTAGGTGCCGACCAAAAATTGGGCACCACTCGTAAATTTATCCTTGTTATTTCGAACATAGATGCTGACGTAGCAACAACCAGTGTTTCTCAGCGAAACACATGCAATTTGTCTATTTGGGGAGTTGATCACCACACCATCTCAACATTCACATTTTCACGACGCGCCCTCCGTTACAACACGCACGTTTAAATATTCACCACATTCCAACGATATTATACGCGAAGAATTGCCCCACATTGTTCTTCCATTACTTCTAATAAAGATCGAGATTATTGCTTTCTTTCGTAACAGAAACACATGAAGAACGCTTCCAAGCGAACATCGACACCTCAGACTGGCAAAACGCAGTCGAGTATTAAGGCCTTTTTTACACCTGATAATGTTTGCAATCCCAAGCCTACCAGCAAACCTGCCGCGCTCGATTCTAGTCGCTCAAAGAAGACTGTTGACAATACTGTTGAGGATACGCGTACTTGCCCTAATGACTCGCAGGATATTCGTCTCGAAAATATTAAAATAAAAGAAGAGATGGAGGTAGACGTTCCCGAGAAGAAGAAGCAGCTTAAACGGGTAAATAAAAATGGAGTGGTGGAGGGATATGTTTCAATTAAAATTAGATTGTTTAATTCATTCTGAAACTACCTTTCCCCTCGTCGTTATCGGGCATGTTTTTTTTCTTAGCTGAAACAGAAACGTAAAACGATTGTACTGTCAGAGGATGAAGACGGTGATGACGGAATGCAGGAATTCCATGGTATGTTGGTAATGTTATAAAAAAGACTTATTCCTTTGTGAAAAGGCCGGATTTACATGTCAAAAGAATAATCGATCGTTTAATGAATGATTGAATTTGTTTATAATAACCGCGATATATTCTACACTTCCTGCATAGGTGCATCAAATGATCAACTCAACCAAAAGAAAAAGCAAAAAGTCTTTTCGGATTCCAACTCTGTAACGACATCACCAGAAGTCATGGATGTAGACAATCCAGCAACCCCTCGCAAGTATACGTTCCGTAAAAAACAACCCCGTTCATTTAAAAGTCGGATTACGGATTACAGGAACATGCTATCCGAATCAGAAAACGAATCAGAGGACTTGAACAGAGACGATGATGAATACCAAGATGACTCGGGCGATTCTCCTCCAACTACACCCTCCTCCAGTCCAGTAAAATCTTCGCCGCCCTCTTCCTCGAAAAAAGGCAAATCTGCTGTAACAGCCGCAGGCCACACTGCGAAACGTTCCAACACATCAACTGACTCAATATCCACTTTGTCCAGCACTAACAATGACTCTCGCTTGCAAAATTTTGCCTTTTCTAAAAACTCTTCATCTCCAACCAAAACAACCTCTTCACCTCCGACAACCAGCACGGCCGTCTTATCTCCACAAGACCGTAAAAAGGAACGTCAAAAACAACGGCAAACGGACTTTAAATCCAAAAATGAAGAACGTTATGCTTGGCTTCTCAATGTTCGTGATGCTGAAGGCAATCCAGAAAACTCACCCAACTACGACTCGCGCACGCTGTACATTCCACCCGATGCGTGGAAAAAGTTTACACCATTTGAAAAGCAATTCTGGGAAATCAAGGGCACGCACTGGGATACCGTCGTATTCTTCAAGAAAGGAAAGTTTTACGAGCTGTACGAGAAAGACGCAGATATTGGTCACAAAGAGTTCGACTTGAAATTGACGGATAGGGTCAACATGAGAATGGTTGGAATACCTGAAATGAGTTTCGAACATTGGGCAGGCAAATTTATCGCCGCGGGGTATAAGGTTGCCAAGGTAGATCAGATGGAGACCGCCCTCGCGAAAGAAATGAGGGAAAAGTCGAATAAACCCTCTTCCAAATCAGCTTCGAGCCAACCCGAGAAAATAATTCGACGCGAATTAACCACAATCTTAACTGCTGGCACGTTGGTCGACCCTTCGATGCTTTCAACACCGCATTCTACATACTGCATGTCAATAAAGGAATACTTTTCTTCTGCTGACTCTTGTCCAACGTTTGGCATTGTTTTCGTCGATACCTCCACGGCCTCATTTCACTTTTCCTCTTTTACGGATGATGCCGATAGGTCACAATTCGAAACGCTAATTGTGCAGGTAAAGCCGAAAGAAATTGTATTTGAAAAAGGGTTGCTCAGTCCAAAGTCAATGAAGGTTTTGAAAAACTGTCTAGACGAGCCAATTCTGAACGGGATAAAGAGTGGGACAGAGTTCTGGAATGCCGAAGATACGATAAGAGAGTTGACAATTGGACAGTATTTTAAGAAAACAGTTGACGAGCGTGAGGGCACTCGTAGTAATGACGCGGCCGAATCCAACGAAACTGATGAACTTCCTCCTATCCTAACTGCAAGCAAAACATCCCCACATCTTCTTTCAGCCCTTGGTGGTTTAACGTATTACCTACGCACATTGCAACTGGAACGTGCTCTTCTTTCACTTGCCAACTTCTCTTATTACACTCCTCTGCATCCTTCGTACCTCCTTCTTGACAGCCGTACATTATCGAATCTCGAAGTATTCACCAACAGTTATGATGGAAGCACCGCAGGGACATTATTCGAATTAATAGATCATTGCACGACGGCGTTTGGAAAAAGAACGTTGCGAAAGTGGACCTGCCAGCCGCTATGGAAGATTGAGGAAATCAAAGAAAGACAAGACGGTGTAGAAGTATTTATCAGAGAACATGAATTAAGAACCTGGGTGGAATCGTGGGGCAGAGAACTTACTGATTTAGAACGAATCATAAGCAGAGTGCATGCCCGAGGATGTAAAGTGGGAGAATTTGTGGGAATGTTGGAAAGCTTTGAAAATGTTGTAAACAGCTTGCACGTTCTCACGACTCCGTCGTACCAATCGAAAATTTGTTCCTCGTCTCGTTTACTTTATCTTGTTTCCTCTATGCCTGATTTGAGGTCAAAACTTGAATATTTCCGGAGTGTGTTTGAGTATAAAGATGCCAAGGCGAACGGATTTATAACGCCGCGAGATGGGGCTTATGACGATTACGACGAAAGTCGAAATAAAGTGAGGTCAATCGAAGAAGAACTTGAACGGTATCGCATGACGGTTTCAAAAAAACTTGGGTGAGTACACATGCTGGGAATTTGAGAAGTGTTGTTGGATTGTGAGAGCTGTATGTTGGAAACGACTATTCAATCAAACACGATGTGCGGAAGAAAGTTTACGATTTTCTCTTTTGTTTATAGAGTGACTGCGAAATACAAGGATGTTGGTAAAGAGATATACCAACTTGAGGTTCCGGGCAGTGTTAAAGTTCCCGGCGAGTGGACAAAATTAACTAGTACAAAGGTTCGTATTGTACACTAGTGAAGTGACTGGGTAATAATTTGACTTTAACCTATTGTTTATTTCCATACAGGTCGTAAATCGTTATTGGACTCCGCATCTACAAAAACTAATTCGAGAACTTCAAGAATCTCGTGAAATTCAATCATCCGTCCTCCGTCTGGTCCGTGATAGATTATACGAGAAATTCGATGCGTCGTATACAGAATGGTTACAAGCCGTGAAAATTGTGGCGGAGATAGATTGCTTAGTGAGTTTAGCTAAGTGTTCGCTAGCACTTGGTGGTAAGTGGAATAAGGGAAACTGGATAGCGTTGTACATATCGATTGCTATTGCCTCGGCATGTTTATGTTGGTATGAATACTAATACGAATGTTACCAACGGATAGCAACAAGATGTATGCCCCAGTTTGTTGAGGCCGACAAGAACTTTATTAAATTTGAAGATCTCCGACATCCGTGTATTACTCCGAGGTAAATTTAGCATTGAGTCCCATTGTTTCTTCCCTCTCTTCATCTATTAACAATTACTCTTTTTCATAACAGAATCGCAAACGATTTCATCCCTAATAATATCTCACTAGGTAGCGATGAGCCCAACATGATTTTGTTGACAGGACCCAACATGGGTGGGAAGTCGACCTTACTAAGACAGGTAAGAATGACGAGCAACACGCGAGTATTGATTTTTGGCATCCATATTCCGATTCTTCATGCTTACTTGTCCGTCCACTTGAATAGACTTGTGTAGCAATAATAATGGCTCAACTCGGCTGCTATGTTCCGGCGTCTTCTTGCACACTGACACCTTTTGACCGTATTTTCACTCGCATCGGAGCAAACGACCGTATTCTTAGTGGACAGTCAACCTTTATGGTCGAATCGATTGAAACAGCAAAAATTCTTAACGAAGCCACTCACCGCTCAATGGTTATTCTTGATGAACTCGGTCGTGGAACATCGACTCATGATGGATATGCCATTGCCTATTCCGTATTAACCCACCTTGTGAGGGAGACTAAATGTGTTGGATTGTTTTCGACTCACTATGTCAGACTGACCGATGAGTTTAAATCAGACAGGGCTGTAAAATTGATGCATATGCAGTGTGAAGTCAATGAGGAAGAACGACGGGTGACGTTTTTATATAAGCTGATAAACGGAGTTTGCCCGAGATCGTATGGACTGAACGTGGCTAGAATGGCCGGAGTGCCAGAGGTGGTTGTTTCCAGAGCCGAGGAAATTGCAGAGGAATTTGAGAAAAAGTGTCAGATTGGTCAGTGAATAGTAATTGGATATAGTAGCATGTCCACGTTTGAATGTTGTAAATATCAACAAATGTATATAATAAAATAATTCGACTCTACAGTCAATGTACGCAAGATCTCTAATGTTAAAAATTTCGAGCGATTAAGGTTTCCATCACAATACTTGCGGAAATGATGCTCAGATCGGTGTAACTGTCATGACAAGTACAAGAGTAATACATATTCCTCGCGGCTCCAAGGAATTTAACATATAAAAAACAAAGGCTGTACGGCCACGGCCACTTGGTTTGCGTGGCTCGTCACTAAAATATTTCTCAAGAAAACAATCATATTTTTAGTTTCGGTTCCTAACGCGTAGTCGCATCAATGAAAACCGAATTTTTAATGTACGCGGAATCATCAAGTGATCCATACACACCCGTAGTACCTGACTGCAAATGTCATTTGATGTTACTGTTTTGAAATGATTTATGGATCTTTTAAATCTAATAAGACGCGTTGTCGACTCAATTTTCACTGTCATATAAACTTAGCATTAATTGTAAATTTAATGAACGTGCATCATTTTGAAACTCACTCTATGCAGATAAACGGCTTGGAGAATCGGTCTTCTATACTCTACAACACTGATAATATTTAAGCGCACAAATTATTTTGCCGACACGTACCTCACCCTCTTCCCTGCTTTTTGATAAACAAGTTCTATAATACTATTGAAAGTATTAATACAAGCTCCATACGTCAGAGATTTTTCGAAGCGTTTTTTGCTTATTACGATACTTTTGCAAAACCAAAGAAAAATAGTCTACTACTACTAATTCTAACGATATTAATTAAATAGATATCGACGGCCAATTCTTCCAATTGAACACCATAATGAGTTGTGAAATTCTGCTTCTGCCCACGCTTTGTGTATATAACTTGCATTACATCTTCTCCAACGGAGTCAATCCCAACAGGTTCAATCCGTTCCCCAAGGTCACTCTAGCACACCAGAATAACAGTAATCGCGCTTCCGCTACTCCAGGACTCATACCCTTGACCCTCAATGTCCTATGAGCATGAGATATGCTTTGAGATAGATTGAAAAGATAGTTTACAATCACACATGGTTGGAAATCTTTGTATGCTTGGAGAACTATTTCAGGGTAGAGTGATATTTGGTAAGCTAAATCAAAAGCTGCTTGTTCTTTAAGAGCTTTAATATTAGCCTTGGGATTCAGTGTAACTCCCGCTTTTTCTTCAATACTAGTTGGAAAATAGATCAAGTGGTAAAGGTTAGTAATGATAAATTTCCAACGTGCTCACCATCGTTCTATTTGTCTTCCCACCTGCTCAGCCTTGCGTGTGCATATTGTAAGTAGACACCGTTATGCCCATGAGCATCTATAGTTTTCTTCCAATCAAAGGTATAGTCCTTATATCTATCCCTCATAAAATCATGTATTACAAGTGCAGATATCCCAACAATATCGGCTATCTTTTCAGCTGCTTCCTTTCCATACAATCCAACCTCATTATACTCATCACTTGATGCCATTTGGTCATCATCAAGGGACAAATTGTCTACAAACCGACTATTATCCGCCTTCTTGGCCTGTCGACTAGGTCCGCTATTAACGATATCCCGATACTTTTCCTCATTTCCCATCATAATGTCCAACATGCGTTGCTTGGCAGTATCCAATATGTCTTTCAAAAACACTGCCGTGCCATGCCGCGTCGACACACCTCGAATCATCCCAAAGCCGACGTGTTCCAAGTTCTCTGCCCATTTTTCCCCACCATTGCCTTCCCGATTTTGTGTCAGCTCGAGAATTTTAAACAATCTCTGAAAATGATTTTGCTGGCTCATCCCAACAACGTAAAACATTTGATCAAAGTTATACAGCTGTCTGCGTTGTGTGGCTGCAGCAATGTCACGAAGGAGGTATACAGATGTCTCATCCATGCGTTTGATCTGCGGAGTACCGAGATTGTATTCGGAGAGATCGATTGTGCATGTACCGTCGTCTTGAGTGGATAAAAGATTCTTGGTAGTAAGAAGGCGCTCAACTTGAGGAATGAGAGGTTGAGTTTCAGATTCACCCGAGTATGAGGTAAATTCAATGTTTAATCTTTTGTACATTGATTTGTATTCTTTGATGCTTAGATCTCTGAACTTTCGCCATAGGCTGAGTACTGATTCGTCCCCTATGAGAGAATTGTAATTTTTTTTTCTTGTTTGATATTAACTGATAATCATACATAACTAACTGTATAGCTATCGCCCATTAATGTTGGACATCTAATTGTACAAGTGCAAGTTATTCAAATCGCATAAACTTACCATCTTCCATTCTCTTGATATAATCATTTGCTTCTTGATCAATCGTAGGATTGTGCTTTGCTTCCTGGCTTATTTTCACATACACATCATAAAGATGCTTGATAGAGTCTTTGTCCAACTCGTCATGTGATCCATACGTGTTGAATCCAACAGCCAATAATCCTACCAATTAACCACTGATACTATGAGTTATGATGGTGATTGTCTATAATTTAACAAACTGATTATTAAGATTATGTTAAAAGCGGATGTTATCGAATAACCAAAACCTCCAATGCAATGTTTCCCCTTTTTTTTTTCCCTTCGAATCTTATCATTATTTCCTTACCATATTGTTTGCCCCAATCTCCTAAATAGTTTATAGCGATGGTCTTGTATCCCAAAGCATCATGTATCCTTTTCACAAAGTTTCCGAGAATAGTACTTTTCAGATGACCACTATGAAATGGTTTTGCAATGTTGGGTGAACTAAAATCGATCACGACGGTTTTTCCTTGTCCATGAGATTTGAATGTTCCGTAAAGATTTTTCTGACCGAAAACCTCGTCAACAACACGCTGGATAAATACAGGTTTTTTAACGTGAAAGTTGAGATATGGGCCTATTGGTGTTGTACTCGATATCGTTGGAGAACTTTGAAACTAGGGTAAAATAATGCCAGATGTGTTAAACAAATACGGTTCTAATAGTTTGATCGTGGATCAATCAATCATCACCTCACCTTTTCGGCTAGTTCTTTACAGAATTCATCTGCAGTTTTCCTTTTCCCCCCTTCTTCCGCTCTTGCATTTTCTTCAACATTTACACTTTTTGCTTCATCCGGTTTCCTCTTCTTTTGCATTCCACCTTGCATCAACTTGTATACTGCTATTGAAAATTGTCCAAAATCTTTATTTTTTGGTCTTTCAATCATTTCAATCAATTGCGTTTCCGGATGGCCTGTGATGGTGGATAGTTGAGTGGCTATAGATTGTTTGAATTGCATTATGGTGCACATGGACGGAAGTGAGATTATGCGAGAATAAAGACGCGACATGCTTTCCGTGTAAAAAAAATGCGAAAGTAATATAAAGAATTTGAGAAAACGACGTATTGACTATTGAAATAAATCACGTGTAGATAATCAAAGCTGAATGTACCGATGTACCGATGCTTTGGATTGATGAAAGGTCAATCCATACTGATAGGCTATGTGCAAAGAAAATAAGCTTGCCCATATTAATATTTCATTAACCTAAGAGACATGTCGTGAAACTCGTCCATTATTTTTTAACAGCACGGCAGAATCACAGGAGATATTATGTTTCAAATTGACCGGTTATTACACTTGATGCCTTGGACTCGGAATGTCAGAACTAGGTCCCGGTTAAATCTGAGATCGGACATTGTAACAATCTTAGCATTCGAATGCTTGCTTGTTCACTATTTGTGACTACTTTTCGTTACGGAGCGATGTTTGACACAATGAGTGGTCGGTGTTAATGCTGATAAGTAAATATTTTTAGCAAATACCCAAAATGAATCTTAATTTGGTTAGTGTCGTGTTTGGTCAGGACTAGAATAATAATAATGCAATAACAAAGGGTATCCTGAAAAGCTAGTAGGGTATTTATCTTTTGATCGATTAAACCCAACAATTTGTTCCTCAATGGACACAAACTTTCATGAACAAGGAAAAACTGGTATCGAATCAGTTAAGAAATGTGGCATTTGTTAAATGAGTTCTTTATTGTATTTGCGCATTTGGCTGGCTATCTTTGCCGCTTTTCGATAAATATCATGGCTTTGGTTCATATTCACTAAAATTATAATATTGATATGTTTACTATTATACTAAACAATATTAAAGTTGGTGGTAATAGTAACAAACCTTATCCTTATCAGAATTTCCTTAATTATAATGCTGTCATACAAAATTTTTTTCTACATTTCCAAGCCATTTTTATATAATGCAATGGAGACTGTCGCTATGATGTAATGATGCTTGGTTAGCTTCTCCTATCAATAACGAAATTAACGTTTAGATATGCAAGGGTTTGGTGACTCTATTGTGTGCGTACAAAGTAGACATTATGGCTGCGCAAACCAAATAAACAGAGTCACGTTGGTGATTGTCCGGTGATACAAAAGACGTAATATTGCGACAAGTCATTTGAATGCCTTTGGGAATCTTGGACAAGCGGGGGAAACCGACAAGAAACAGAATGGTCATTCCAAGATATGGCGTCTGTATAACTTGTGTTTACTTAAAGACATTCTTTCTCTTGTCATTGGAGAAATATAGATAATGGCAACCAGACAAACTGTCAAGGTATGAATTGTTGATAGGAGCTCACAATCTAATCGCTAGCCTTTTCATATGTTGGACAAGGGACCCGTTTTCTATTAAGATGTTCGAGTTACGTAATATATTATATTATTGTATGTCTAATAATAGTATATAACACCAGGCTTGTACAATAGTGTTTCCTAAATGGCTCTGGCTATCCGCGCAGACTTACTAACCTTTTTAAGCTACTTGATGATTGTCCCATTATTATAATGTCCTGGGGGAATTGCGGGCATCTCGATAATTAAACGGTTAACATGCGTTACAACCAAGTATACCTACCATGTCATACTTGCCTTCTAATCAATGTCATATCGTAATCTATTTTTGACTATATTAACATCAGATACGTTTGTTGACCGAATATTGCTCCGAAGTTACACAACATTGTTAAGATAAGGTGCTGATGTGATCGATAAAATTGATAAAAAAATTTTTTTCCTGCTTTTCGGAGTTTGGAAAACAAACTTGTCGGGGAAAATATTAATATTAATATATGCTCGGTTATACTAATACATCGGCGCTTATTGATTGTCTTCATACTGACTATTATGGGTTTGTGATTCGCCTATCATACAATGTTTGTCACACCTACGCAGCATGGATGCATATATTTAAGGTCTTTATCATCCAATAACTCTTGGACTTACTTTCCCTAAGCGGAGAACGAGTAGAACGAGATGCAACATTAACGTTGTAGAAGTCTATCTATTACACCTTACCCAAACTAATTTTGTATCAAATAATCATTGCCAATCAGTGTTTCTGTATTATATAATTTCATTCTCCTTTATCCATGGCAAAGCACAAACGTTCGCACAAATCTTCTATAACTTCTTTTATTCAAATTTACCTTGCGTTCACGTTCCTATGCTTGCTTCTCTCTTGCAAGTTTGCCACATCTACCGAATATCGTGCAATTGACGGCACAGGAAACAATCTGAATTATCCTACTGCTGGTGCAACGGGTGATAAATACCTTCGTGTTGACTTGCCCACCGCAAACTTTGTTGATGGAAGGAGTCAGCCTCTAAAGACACCAACCGATGGAGTATTGCCTGGTACTGCCATAAACTCTAGCTGTACAGATCAATTAGCAGCAGATGTATACCCATTGCCAAGATGTGTGTCAAACATTGTGTCGAGATATGGAACAAATCTTATAGTCAACGACAGTAAAGTTCCCATTTATAAAAGCCTTCGTAAAACTTCACACATGGTAAGCTGCGTCGATCTAAATCATATTTGGTTATGTTTGTGTTTGGTCGTACAACATCGATTGGGTGCAGGGTCTTTTATAATTTAAATATTCATTTTTCTTAATATTGAAAGATCACATTCTTGGGGCAATACATCTCCTACGACACGAGTGCAGCAGTTGAAAATATCAACCTACCGACCTATATATATGCACCTCTCGATGACGCAAACTATAACCCTCCTGGCTCTCCTCCTGCAAATATAATGACTGCAGGTCCCGATCTCGTTGCTTACCCTAATGCTGGCGTACTGAGACAAAATCGATCTTATTATGATCCCGCAAACCCCACGTTCGGAGTAAATGGTGTAACTGGATTCCTCGATTTAAATCCTTTGTATGGTTCGACACTTGAACAGTCTAATGCAGTAAGAGATACGGCTTCTCAACGCGGAAAATTGTTGATGGTGAATGGCTATTCTCCATGGAATGACACAACAAGAACTTTTAAATTAGGTGGACCATTTGCTCGTTCACAAAACATCTTTACACTGGCCATCAATACTATATTTCTTAGGGAACATAACAGATTGTGCGATTGGCTGTACTCGATCAACAGCACGTGGACCGACGAGCAATATTTTCAAGAAGCTAGGCGATGGAATATTGGACAGTATCAAAAGATCGTGAGCGAAGAATATCTGGGAATTGTAACTGGACGTCCCTTACCACCATATTCGGGCTATAATCCGAATCAACAACCCGGAACAGACTTGTTTTTCAGTATTGTTGCGTTTAGATATGGTCACAGTGAGATTAGGTAGGTGGATATTGAAACGAGCCATTCGATCAATGAAAATGTTGTTGTTGGATATGGCGTTATCTGAATCTTTTATATCTTTTCTCACTCTCGTATTCTCCAGTAACACGTACAACATATTAAATATCAACGGTGAAACTCTTGCCGAACTTCCATTGTCTGATACAGTAAGATTTGATCTTTTGCTTCGGGTCGGTTTGGGTCCTATTCTTCGATCGATGGCCAGTCAACGACAAGAAGAGGTTGACGCATACGTGTCGGATGGGTCGAGGGCATGGACTGGTGCAAATAAACTAAAGTACGAGATTGCGGCATTTGATGTTTCGAGATGCAGAGATCTTGGTGAGTAAACAAATAGCGCAATATGCTGCTGCCACGCCAGTTTGCAAAAAATTAACATTCTGATGCTATTGCTAATTATTTTTTTTTTTTTGGTAATGATAGGTATCCCTCTTTACAACGACGCCCGCGCAGGTTTTGGTCTTGCGCGTAAAAATTCGTTTGCTGAGGTCACCTCAAATGCAGAAATTGCGGCCAGACTCCAACAAGTTTATGGCACTGTCGACAAGTGTGAAGCGTTTGTCTGTGCGCATGCCGAAGATCACGTTGCTGGTGCCAATGTTGGGGAGCTTGTCTACACGGCTCTCATCCGACAGTTTGATCGCTATCGCGTTACTGACCGATTCTGGTTTCAAAATTATTTCAGTACCACTGAGCAATTGACATTCCGTAACAGAACCTTTAGAGATGTAATAGTCGATAATTTGACACCGGATGAACTGCCGGAAGGCATAACATTTCCTGCAAGCATTTGGACTGTTTTGCCACCAACTGACAGTAGTCTCAGCAATGCACCAAATCCTATAACCGATCCATATCCAGGAGACATGACTAGATGGCCAGAATATCAAGTACGCTTTGGCGTCACGGATAAGACTCTACAATTTTTAATCAATTTTGCAACTGAAAGCGGAAATGGCTGGTTTGGTATAGGCTTTGGTCCGTCCGATAATGGCATGACAGACGCTGATTTTATCATAGGAACGGTGTCATCTGGTTCGGCCAGTTTAGGGAATTACATTTCCAAAGGATACCAACCACCAGTTCTTGACTCGGGTCATCAAGACTTTCAATTGACCAGCACGACACTTAACGGGTCCGTTTACCAGATTGAATTCAATCGTCCCCTCGCAGCAGCCAGTTCAGGCAGAAAGGCGATCACAGAAGGGCAAATGAAAATGATCATGGCTTTCAACCCTACGACTAACGTTGTTACATATCACGGACCCAGAAATAGAGCCAGGCAGCTTGTTGATTTTAGTCTCGGCAAGGTTATTAACTTACAAGATACAGCTATAGCAGCTTCTCCAGAGAGACAACGGCAGACCAGATTGGCTCACGGGTTTGGAATGTTTACAATATTCTGGTGAGTCGAATCTTTTGCTTAAAGTTATCGATTAACCAGTACTGATGAGCATCTGTCTATTTACAGCATAATCTTTCCAACCTCGATTTACGTTATCAGATATTACAAACATACCACGTTCTACTTAAAGTTTCACAGGAACATGCAATTGTTTGGCGTGTTGCTTGTTGGCACATTTGGAGCTGCTGCCATTGCCACTATCGCCAACCTACAAACGAATCACGCAAAGTAAGTATAACGCAGTGCCGACGTCTTTATTATTTTATTAAAAACGTTTTTCTAATTTTGTAATTTTTTGGTAGAATTGGATTAGCAGTCTATATCGGTACTTTCCTTCAAATGTCATTTGGATTGACTACTTATTGGTCACAACAGAAAATTGAATCAGTTAACGAAGGTCTTCTCAGAGTTGTTAAAAGAACGCATCGATACTTTGGCATGGTCCTTATGATTACAGCATGGTAACGTGAGCGTGTAACCGTAAATGCCATATTAATATGTTTGCGTGAATGGAGTATAATTGTTTCACTCGATTAATCAACTCACACATTACTTGTACAATACATATAGGTTCTCTCTATACTTGGGCATTAACGTATATTGTATCACATACGGTGCAGATAAGGTTCCCTGGCAAGGGGCTTTGATTGGTGTTGTCGCTTTGATTTGTTTGATTTTCATCGGGGGTCAAATCTGGAAAATCATGGGTGGAAAATGTCGGATCAAGGCCTGTACCGGAGCTGAAGCAGAAGAGAAGACAGTTGACCTATTTTTTGATGCCGCAGGACTTAATGCGATGCCCGACTTTACGTGGGATCAAGTTAATGAGGGTGTGCAGAGAGGAGCGTTTTTGGTTGTCTGTGATGGATTTGTGGCAGATATTAGGAGATGGATTCATTCACATCCGGGTGGTGAGAAGATATTGCATCGCGTTATTGGCACGGATATAACTAATGGTATGTATTGCAAGAAATAGAGACAGCGTGTTATGCAAGCAATTCTAATATATTACTCATGCATCTCCCTCTAACCATTTGTCACCAGACTTTTACAACACTCACAGGCCAACAGCAACACCAAAGGAAGAGATAGATCCGGACCCCAATGCCACAGACAAAAATGACATGATGGCGTATTCAAAAGGAGCCCATCTCGTGAGCCCTGTGTTAGGACGTTATACACATCTGTGGGAACAACAGGCTCTTGACCCTGATCAAAAACTTCGCAGACGCAAAACGATGTCTGCAAAGATTGACGATTTCAACATTGAACGATTCCACAAATCATCCGAGCCGATCGCCAGACACAAGCACACGAATTTCGCAGTGAGACAATTCGCTGGCATGGTAATTGGAAAAATAAAGGGTGACAGTTACGATGAAAGGAATGTTGAAAAGGCTGACGATGCACCGCCGACGCCAACATCAGAACAGTCTTACTTTAGACTGCAACAACCGTTCTTTGTCACGGATCTCAAAAAGGATACTTCAGTTAGAGTTTTCAAAAGATATCAGCTGGTTGAAAAAGCTTTGGTTAATGGCGATCCAGAACGTCCTGTCATAAAATTCACTTTTTCTAAACTTCATCAATTGAAAGACTCCGAAGGTGATCGCATTATCCCGGGAGATTACATCGAAATCCAAGCCCGAGTTAAGGGTCAAGTGGTTGTCCGTGCTTACACTCCAGTTGAAGGCCGAATATCACGCAGGTTCTCCATTATTGTGAAAGTATATGAACATGGTCTAATGTCTCAGCACCTAGCTCATCAAAGAATTGGATACGAACTCAAAGTTCGGGGACCGTTTGATTTGTTGGATCGTCGTGGAGTGACCCATATGACGCAGAATGAATTATCAACTATTATGGGACGTAGATTCAGTTCAACACATAGTGTAATATCTAATTTATCAGCTGGGTCAAGTACGACAGGCAGATCATCAGGCCACTTGCTGTTGAATCCGAACAGTTTTGACGGTTGTTGGGATCAATTGGTTATGATTGCCGGAGGAAGTGGGATTACACCAATGGTTCAGGTAGGTTAAATTGAAAAATTAGTGTCATGTTATGTAATATGCATCGTTTCAGCTAACACTTGCGTATTTTCCTATTCACTCACTTTGTTCCCCTCGAACCAAACAGTTAATCAATTTCCATCTAAAAGTTCTCGCCACCAGTCGAGATCGCCACATTACTATGCATCTACTCTTTGCAAATAAAAGAGTTGAAGATATCATTATGGGTCTCGAACTTGAAAGTTTGGCGGCAAACTCTAAAGGAGCACTGACAGTTACCTATATGTTGAGCAATCCACCAACAGTGGGTCACGAATGGGAAGGTTTGCATGGACATGTTACTACTAGTGTGTTACATACGTGGTTATTGCATCATGGAATGAATACGCATACAGTGAGTTTTCCGAGAAGCCCGACTGCTTATGACCCAACGGGACAACTCGACGAAAGATACAGCCCGACTTTGAGAGCTGGTGAAGTGACTGGTAATTACGATGGAAAAGACAGTCAGAAATTAGCTATTCGTGACCAATACGATATGTCTGATCAACCAGATTTAACTAATCACGAAGTAGTTACTACTATCAACAAAGGAACACAAGATATTATCACGACTGAAAGAACCTCCCCATCGGAAGGTTCAACTAACTCTGGATCACCAAATAGCATGCGACCTCTTCCCCAACCTCCAACAAGGCAGCCAAGTCACTCTTATTCAAGGGGAGCTTCATTTAATTATCTTATGGTGCAGAAAAAAATCGTTGCTTGCGGTCCAGCAGCCATGTTGGATAAAATTGGTGCAAGTTTGAAGGAGATGGGATATGCGGATGATGATTATATTCTACTTTACTGAGTAAAAGGGGGATGTTAATTAGCTAAGTTTTGTGAGTACTAGCTAGAAAGTATAAACATATGGAAAATATTCTTCAATTGTGTGACAATTCAACTGTTTTATATATACATCATTGTAAAAATTCTAATAAATCATATTGTGCGTGTCAAGTTAAGAGGAGTGGAGGGCCGTTTGAGTGATGATAATGACATTGAATCGATACAATAAACTCTTGAATTGGGCAGATAAACATCTTGTATTGACAACATCAAAACCTTCTTCAATCGGCACTTGTAATTGTATTTTGAGAAATTCTTTTCCAATAGAATATTATTATTACGTATCCAATCAAACGTGTTGAATATCATATGTTCGCGCCGTACCGGATATGAAGGCAAAATACCAATTTGATTGTTTCAGCTGTTATTATTGAAATTAGTTGAAATGCTAAAAGACGTGTAATTTTAAAACAAACTTAAGTAACATTGAACTAGAAATTGAATTATAGTCGTTCTGATTAAAATTCTCAAATTTAAAAGTTTCCGTACTTCCGCGCTTCGGTTATGAATGACATCAAATTTACAGCGAGTAGTGCTCGACAGACAAGTGAATATAACTCGATTACCTGAGTGCAAGATATTGTAAATGATAGCGTTTCCCATAAATATAATTCAGACTATCGGCCATCATCTAATTTATAAATAGTCATCGCACTTTATAGCTTCGGAGAAACCGGAGAGACTTCGGCAAGATTGTCCAATAGGAGGACGAGAATCCAATGTTACTATAAATATCGTGAACTATATGCTACGCATTGCCGAATATTAAAAAGTTAGTTCGTTCCGCCATACTCATAAAAAAGTTGGTTTTTTTTCTCATGATTTTACGTTTTAGAACTTGTAGTTTGCTCTCGTATTTCAACAATTTCTTCATAAAGTATGATGTACTATTTGCGTGTATACCACAGCGCGTATGCTAATTGCTGACTTGACTTACACTGCAGCAGAACGTTTTGAATCACGAATAACAGAGTTTTAGAAAATCCAATGCTAGTATTCAAACCGTATAAAACTTAATGTGATCTCGCATCGCGCTGTTAAAATATCTCAAAACCGAAAGTATGTTCACTCTTAGTAGCTAGAAGAGTAAATTATAATGTTATACGAAATGCTGCAATCTGCAGTTAGAATGTGTGGCGTAATGCAGATAAATATTAGTAATCAACTCAATGTTTCTTTCGGACAGTGGACAACAGACGGGTGAATATTTGATAAGCTGGGTGGACAACAATAAGAAAGTCACATAACAATAGTCGCACAATATTACGCCTTGCATGCACTGAACACAAGATTATTGTAAAGTTACTTGTCTGGTAATGTGCTACGATTTAGTGTTTATTTCACGGATCTCATCAGACTCGTTAGAAATATCATAATATCGGTATGAAAATGGTTTTCATCAGCTCATTCCGAGGTCAGTTCTGTCGGGTAATATATATATTTTCTTAACCGAGAACTACATGATAAACGATATAATGATCGTCTTGCATGATAGCAGGATCGGCTTACTTTTCTTATCCGATGTCGCAAATCTTTTCATTTACATATCATTCAGTTGCTATAAATAGTTGATTTTTTTTTATTCTAACGATATACAGTTATTTTACTGCTTTAATCGTTTGACACCTTGTTTTTCTTCTGCATAATTATAATTATAACCGACCAACCAGTTAAATTGAAATATTAATGTTACGTGTTACAAACTATCACGTGGGATTTAGCGTCTGCTGCCGGGAATGGGAATTCCATATTAAAAGCCTTTAATTATCTTAAACTACTGTCTAATGTTGTCCCTTGTATGCCCCAACCATTCGGTAATGTGTAAACCGTTGCTGGTCTTGTGTAATATTTTGACTATTTTTTTTTTCACCAGTTTGATGTCAAACTCGCACGTGTATCGAGTTACCTCATTAGTAAAACAAAAGATCCGCAACAGATCTGACTCCTTTTTTTTTACCGTGTGACAAAAAGCATCAGTCCGTAATAGTCATGGTAATAGTAACAGTAACCACTCTTGGCATTCAGGTTTGTGGCGTTCTATACATAATCCTATTTGCGTTCGTAGCTGTGCATTATCGTCTTTGCATCTATCCCCATCCAAGTTATTAATATGCCGGATACGGAATAGATATGCGTCACGATTACTACAATTACTTCTTACCCTGCGGAAAAGACACCAATTCAAATTCTTCTCATTTGAGCCGCATTCACATGTGACCTCACGTTTGCAGAACAAGTTGTGTAATCAAAAATACCCACGGTGCCATGAGAATGGTGGCGCTCAATATGTAAATATGATTTGAAACTTAGTTATATTACAATATCGACGTTTATTATTAGTTAGAGTCTGATGTACTCTTTAAAAAGCGACCGAGTTCATAACGCAATTATTGATTCATTATCATCCGTCATACGCCCCTTAAACAGAATTTGGTTACACTCGGAAACATGAACAATCAATGCAATCAATAGATTAGAGTTCAGGCCTGAACTACTAACGCAAACATGTAAATGAAGAGGATGAAGGGACCCAGAGAACAATCCATTACGTTGGAAATCGATGTCAACAATGCTGTGAATGTTTCGCATATGAAATGGAATGCAATAATGTGTAAGATATTAGTAATACGCCACAAATAAATGATCAAATCCTAAAACGCTTGCTACGCCTTAACACATTCCTATGCAGTCATACCTCTCCCC